AATGACCCAGGGGTGTTGTGATTTGCTTTTCTTACCCATGCACACCTTCATTTCAGGTTGCCAACTCTCTCTCACCCTGTAGTCTCTCTAAATCCTTTCTCTCCACAAAAGCAAGCTGATAATCCAATTTTATCAGCCCTCTCCATTGCTCCAAACTATTCTGACTTCTCTCCCCATTGGTGACAGGGTGTGGGAAGGTGGCACATGGGAGGCAGTGAAGGAGAGTAACGTGATAGTCCTGGGCATGTGCAGTGTGAAGCCACTAACCTATCATAGGGACATTTGGGACCACCTATGGGTTTAGCTCAATCTGGCTGGAGCTGGTCAGGGTATTCATCTTTCCAAGATCAGTTTATCGTGTCTGAGGAAGCTAAAAAAAAAACCCTGCTGGCCACATCAGGGGTGTTGGAACTGCTGCATGGATAGAAATCAATGGGGAAGGGAATTTATCTGTGAGAGCAAGTGGCATGGAAATCATGGAGGCAGGGTTGAGCAGAGTTGCCCCAGGGCTCCCCACAGTAGTGGAGAAGCTAGTAGTGGGCTGTATTAACACAAGTATAGCTGGCAAGTCAAAGGAAGTGTTTCTTCTCATTTCCTCAACACTCATGAAGGCAAATCTGGAGTACCTGTTGGGGAAGCTCTCAAAATAAATAGAACAAATACTTAAAATAAAATTTATTTTAAATGCAATCAATTGGCACTCCATCAATCATTAATAAATGACTGTACAGTCAATTCAAGAACTTCTTAGGATTTAACAACAATCCAGAATGCTCAATCACTCACCTTAAAAGTGAGGGCTCTCAATCTCAAGGAGTTGGGCAGTGTCCTGATCAAAGGGGAGAGCCCTTGACCACAGCCTTGTTGCTCCAGGGAGGATGAGCTCAAAATGGCTCCCCAGGGGGACTCCATTTATACTTGATCTGAATCTTATCTGTGGTCAGCATCAGCTCTTATTGACTGAGGGCCCCAATTACCATAAAGACGTGAGAACAAGGGTGTGAAAAAAGAATCATCAGCCACTATGTCTCAACAGCCAGGAAACCCCATCTTTGTTGGGCTGGGTGCACCTACCACAGTACCATGTCCACTTTTGGGACACCTTGGTATGGGAGAGGTGGTGGTGAACCATAATGGGTCCAGAGGAGGGTCGCTGAGATGGTTGGAGCTGGAGTACAGTACACATGAGGGGTGCTGAGAGCTGGGTTTGGTCTGACAGGAGAGGAGGCTAATGGGGGATTTAATGGCTTCTTGCACTGGCTGAAGGGGCTGGAGCAAGGACAGAGACAGACTCAGGTGCGCAGAGAAAGAACAGTGGCAATGGGCGCATGGTTCTGTATGATGAGACATCCAGGAAAATTTCTTCAACTTGAAGGTGGACAAGCACTGTAAAAGGGTCCTAAATGCCTCTGTTGGAAATCAGGTGAAATGAGTCCTACCCTTGAAATCAGGTTTCCTGTTGTTTCTTATATGGAAGATTAGCACCTTTCAATTTTCAAAATGCCTACAAGATTCCCATATCTCCACCTGACTCCATGGAAAAAAAAAGAAAGCAGTATTTCAAGGTACTAAAAATTTCACTTCCAGGCCAGACTGTGTCTTTTTAACATACTTGTGATTGTGCCTATTTTTCTGCTTTACCTGTGAAGGGAAATCTTAATTTCTAAAGGACTTTGCTAGAGGCAAGAGGTGGATTACTAGAGCTGTGTCCTTCATTTAGGAATAATGGCCATTAAACTCCTTGTTGCTATGGGGCTGCAATTTCCAGAGGCAATACCCATTATCAGAGAACTGGGGGCTGGCAAGCAGTTAATGAGAGAGCTTTGAAACGGCCCAGTAAAAATCCAGCTTCCCTGCAGACTTCTGAGACATGTATGAAAGAGAAAAGGGAGCCAAAGCTGGATCCAGCTGTGATCTGCACAGATGTGGAGTGGTGGCAGCCTCACTATTGCTCCACAGACTGAGGGAAAGTGCCTTTTAGACACAGCACAGGAGGTTTTTTTGCAGAGCTTTAGGGGGTCTGCATGACTGTGGCAGGTCAGAGCTCTCTTCCCTTAGTCCAGACCCCCTCCCTGTGACCCAAGACAATGTTAGCATCCTGCTGAGATCAAGAAAATACAAAGGTGTTTTTAAGCCATTAGAGAGCACACATGATTGCTGAGGTACAGGGTGTGAAGGAGTTCTTACATCACGGAGTCATTCCTCTAAATTGAATATTAGATTAGACTGAATTATTAGGAAAAAATTATTCACTGAAAGGGTTATCAAACATTGGAACAGGCTGGCCACGGAAGTGGTTGAGTCACCATCCCTGGAGGTATTTAAAAAACATGTAGATGTGGCACTTAGGGACATGATTTAGTGGCTAGGTTTACAGTTGGACTCCATGATCTTAAAGGTCTTTTCCAACCCTAATGATTCTATGATTGTACTTGTGCTGGATTTTGGTCTCTTCACTGTGTCTTCTCAGCAGTAGAGAGTAGATAGGAAAGCAGCAAATCCAGATGGATGGGGTTGCTGCCTAGATGGAGGAGCTGCATGCCCACACACATCAACTCAGCATCTCTTGGCAGCACAAAAGCATCTCACCAGACTGTAAAAGGGAAGTGAGGGAAATGTCATGGTCCTCCTGTTCCTCTCCACTGAAATAAATCTGCAGTAGATATAGCAAAGATCCTTGCACAGAGTCATGTGGTCAGGCCTAATCCTCAGGAACAAGCAGTTTCTCTGAGGCCCAAGGCAGCTGGATGAAATAAAGCAACTATCATGCTTTCAGTTTTACTGGTTTTCTTCCTCTCTCTTCACAGGTGTTGTAAGAGCACTGATGGGGATTCATATTCATCCTTCCCTTTCCAGGATGAGAAAGTCTTCATCTTGCTTTGTGACTGAGGAAAAAGAGAGGAAATCTGAAACATCAGGGCTCTGCTGCTCCCTGGCAGAGCCTGGAGGGGGGCCCAGGCTGTAACAGGCACTGCCACCACGGCTGAATGCCTCTGAGCATCTCACTTGTGCACCAGGTCCTATCATGGACCCCACGCTAGAAGTGGTCTTTCTGGTTGTGTGAAATTCTCCCTGAAGCAGACATGTTAAAGATCACTTCTTGGGATGCTAAACTTTTTTATTGCAAAGTCTAAATGCGATGTAGCTCAGTGCAGCTTTAAATAGAGAAAACAATGGAATGTGTCAGACTGCCATAGTTACGCTCCATAAAGCTGAAGGACTTTCCCAGTGCTTAAAAAAATAATGTCAGCAGATCTAAAACATAAAATAAATGGATGACACTTCAGGGCCAGGAGTAACAGTTTCTGGCTTTTCATTTATTTTCTAAAATCAGCCTTTAGCATGGTATTTTCATGTTGTAACCAAGAGGGTTAGAAATACAGGTTTGCATTGAAATGGTGTATACTAATCACATGAATATATGACTCTTGCTTTCTGAATTTCTGCATTGGGCAATGCCAGAAAATGGCAATGCTGGCCACCCCCTCCATCGTCATTCAAATCCACACCGTTGCTAACATGCCTGGATACAGGAACTTGCAGCCAGAGCCCATTTGGCACTCTGCTCTATCTTTTGACTTTCAAAACCCACTTCAACCATACAAAACTATCAAGAAAATGAACCAGCTGGTAATGGGACACAAAGGCTGACAACAGTGCCCACTAGGACACAAAGGACACCCAGTGGGACAACAAAGTCCCTGGCTGAGCTCTGCAATATTGGACTGTGGAGGAGGGAAAATCTCCCTTCACCCCCACATTGGTTCAAAGGCTGGCATTGAGAGGAGGGCAATTAGAGCTGCCAATTGCTTTTCCTGCTGCAGTGTCCCCTTTGTCAGTGCTAAAAGACTGACAGACCAATAACAGGCTGAGCCCATGTTCCTGAAACATGTTCACAACTCTCCCTGGCAGACAGGAAGTGCCTGGACCATTAATTCAAGAGCCTGACTCAGTTCATTTTATAATTCCTTCTTTTTCTTTAAGCTACTCATGTATCAGGACCTGATTCATCCACTCAGGCTGTTTCGTTTGAGATTGTTCAAGTATTTGGGGTAAAACTTCACCCAGACAACTTTTGTTGAGTTTGAATCATCAGACACATAGAGCAGGGAAAAAGACATACCCAGTGGGATAGGGACTGTTTAAGCCCGACTTTCTGTGTGCATTTCATTGCCATAGTTCACCGAGACATGATTATTCACTGCTTAGTCACTGGGCCTGTTTACTCTGTAGATAAAGATGATAAAGAAAAGTTCAGAGGTGATTTTTCTCCCACTCTAGGAGCCAGCACACCCCTGAGCTCAAAAATTCACTTCAATTCCTGCTAGCTAGCAAAATCAAACCCTGACAAGATCTCTGTATAGGGATCTGCTCTGAACCAGTGGCCTGGGCAGTAGCTGGGACCTTCCTGAAGACCTCTATGTGCATCTTTTTTTCCTGTCTGTGGAAGGAAAATGGCAGGAATACCCTTCAAGGCAGAGATCTTGCAGAACAGTACTGGAAAAAAAGTCATGTGTGAGAGATTTTCCTTATGTGCATGTAGTGAGTTAGCCTTGCCTAACAGCAAAACTCCCACCCAGCTGCCCACTCATTCTCCTCCCTCAGCATGAAAGGGGGAGAAAATATGAAAAAAATAGGAGCAAGAAATGTCGAGGGTTGAGATAAAGACAGGGAAGTCACTTACTAGTTACTTTTGCATGCAAAACAGACACAATTTCAGGAAAATTAATCTCATTTTTTGCCAATTAAAATATAATGTAAGTACAAATTTGAGTAGTGGGAAACAAACAAACAAACAAACAAACATTAAACCGACACCTTTCCTCTCCACCTTTCCCAGACTCAGTTTCACTCTTTCATTGCACATCCACACCCCTGGAGTGCCCCCTGACCCCCACCTATCACCCCCCCCAAAAAAAAGAAGTGGTGCAGGAGGGATTGGGGGCAGGACATCAAGATCACTACTAAGAGGTTTGTTTCTGTCATTCCTTCATCCTCACCTTTCCTGTGCTTCAGCATGGGATCCCCATAGGGTGCAGTCCTTCAATGTGGGTCCTTCCTGGGCTGCATTTTCTTCAGGAATATCCATTTGCCCTGGAGTGGTTCTCCCATGGTCTGCTGTCTAAATATCTCTCTGGCATGGTCCCTTCCACAAGCAGCAGGCAATATCTACTCTGGTATGAATCCTTGTCATGGTTTGAGCCCAGAGGGCAAGTGAGCACCCCTTCCCCCTCAGGAACGGGAAAGCAAAAATAAATTAAAGGGCTCAGAAATTGAGATAAGGACAGGGAGGAGTTGCTCACCCATTAAGGTCATGGGCAAAAGACAGACTTGTTAGGGGAAGAGAAAAGAACATCACATTAATTCAATCACTAACAACAACAACACTTAACAGACAGAGTAGGACAGTGAGGAGTGCCACCACATCTAAAAAACACCTTCCCCCCACCCTTTCCTTCTTCCCAGGCTCAGTTCTGTTCCCAATATCTCTACCTCCTCTCCCAGCAGTGCAGGGGGCAGGGAATGGGGGGTGCAGTCAGTGCTGCCACTTCTTACTCCTCAGGGGAGAACTTCTTGTGTTCTTCCCCTGATCCGCATGGCTCCCCTCTCACTGGAGACAGTCCTCCATGAACTTTCTCTGTCATGAGTCCTTCCCATGGGATGCAGCCATTCCCATGCTGATCCAGCATGGGTCACTCCCACATGCTGCAGTCCTCCCAGTGCTGAACTACAACAGCAGGGGCCACTTCTCCCCAGTCCCGGCTTTCTTTAAGCGCAGCTGCTTGTCCAAGTGTCAGGTCCTCCATGGGCTGCAGGTCTGCATCTGCTCCACCAGTGACCTCCATGGGTGGCCTCTCCCCAGAGGCCATGTCTGCAACACTCCACTAGCAAACCTTTTCTGTGTAAACCCCTAATTATGGCAGGCTACACCCACCAAATTCAGCTAAGGAAAGAGGATGGGGGAGAATCTTAAGAAGGAGAAGATTGAGATTCTGGAATAATTAAATTCATGGGATGCCCAGCAGGACACTACAGGTGGGAAGGGGTTACGTGCCAGGGGGGGTGATATCACATGCAGTTGATTTCCAGTGTTTCTGCATTAGCCCTGTTAGTGCCAATGACAAAGATTGTTTTGGGCAGGGCTGGCAGAGAGCCTGCTGGGCATTCTGGCTCACTTCTTCAGCAACAGCCTGCCCCATGCAAAGTGCCTGTCACTGTGGCGGTGCTTGGCTGGCTCCAAATCATCTGGTAATGGAGAGGGATGCAGCCACTCTGTCTGTTGGGGTGCACCAGGACCTGCATAGGTATTTGTGTTGATCTGCAGCTGAGGGGGTAGAGAGGCTTAAAAAGCCCAGGAACAGCTGTCTGTTTTGGTTGTTCCCTATTCCACTGGAGTCCTGGGTGCTTCCAGGTCAAAGCTATTTCATGAACTGACCTTCACAGCCTGAGTCTGTGTTGTTTTGTTGTAACTGGTGTTATGAAACATAAAATCTTCCGTGTGCAGTCACTTATGTGCAAAATATATTTGCTTGGGCAGCAGGAAGGATAACTGCTTTTTACCTTCCTAGTTGTGGCTCTCTGGGTCAGAGGGATGTTCTGAGAGAGCAGCCCAGGAGGGAGAGACTACCCTGGAAACCCACTCAGAACAGAGTGAGCATGAGCTCTTCTTATCCCCCTTCTGCCATGTTTTGAGGTTTTTCTAGGATGGGACCCTTCTCTGAGCCAGTGGAAGGTCATTCAGTTTCAAGAAGGGACTGAAAAACATGAACGTGAAGCTTATGAAACACTGTTGAACCAGGAAATACTGAGACTCCATCATGGTTGTGGGTATGCAGATCTTTTTTTGGGGAGAAAACAGAGCCAACAACTCTCAGAGAGAATGTCTAGAAATATGGGGATAATGAGTGAATTGCTGCAAATCACACTGAGTTGGAGACTGAAAAACTCTAATTTTTAAAATGAACTCTACAAAAAAGGAGTGAAAATGAAGAAGGAATGGGATGGCATTGTGTAATATGTAAAGACCATGAGTTACCTACATGTGCACTTCTTCTCTTTGGCTTTGAAGGAAGACCACTGCACAGACTGTAAAGGAAAGCCTGGGAAGGTTGGTAGCAGGGACAGAAGGAAATAGGAGGTCCCAGAAATGAGAAGCAACAAAACTGTGAGGAGCTTGATCTACTCTAATTAGTATTGAAATTGTCTGCAGCCCTGTTCAGCAAAATTTGGGCACAACTCTGGGGCACAGGCACATGAATGTATAGGCTCCACTTGAGTATTTTGAGCATTGTCAGAGCCTGGGCCACTACTGGATATACTGAAATGAAGAGATGGTATTGAAGAGAACACCCTTACCTGTGAACATCTGAAAAAGGTAACAGGATGGCAAGATACCTGAGGTGCATAATCCCCCTAGATTTGGTGCATAATGGTACATGACCATGCCCTCCACTTTGAAAAGCTTTTATAATATACTTTACATGATAATGGCTTTTCATTATTGACACTTCCAGGTCACAGTGTGTTAAGGATATCTACTTCCTGAGCTCCCCATTTTCCACTTTGCTATATTGTTTGAGTCACGAAATCACCAGCAATACTCCCTTTTGGATGCATCCCTGGACAGACGCTGCATTGCTTGATGAGGGGTGAGGCATAGCAGATTAATCTGTGCTCAGAGAGGCTGACTGTTGGAATTAGTGCTTCGGATGTCTTTAACATCTGCAGCTCCAAGCCATCCCCAAATTCATCAGCACTGGAAACCAGAGGGTAGCAGCAAGGCTGGTAAGAGCTCTTATGGAGGGGTTTTCCTATTGAATTACTGCTGTCAGGTAGCAAGGCAAGAGGAAGATTTTATGGGAAAGGTGGCAGCTGTGCCATTATCTTCGCAATTCCAAACCTGTCATACAGTTTCTTGGCTGTGTCTGTGATTCTCAAGACTAAGAAGAGTGTTGTTCACTGTGTAGAGGGAGCAAATCTGGGAAGCCAGGGAGAGGTCTGGAAAGACCCTGCAGAGCTGGAACACTGGAAATGTGTCAGACCTGATGGTCTCGAAGCTCCAGGTCCTTGTGTTTGGGAGGTGGGGTGAGTATGGCTGTGGGCTCTGACAAGTCCCAGAGCTTGGGTCCAGCCATTGCGGTAAACACAAGGTGCTGCCAAACCAGAGGTAGAGAGAGGGAAGGTGTTACTGAGGACTTACTTCATGTGGTTACTGTGGTTTATCTCCCTACCCAAAACCAGTCCCTCCCTGCTGGTCTGTTTATCTGGGCTTCCCTCCTTGCTCTGACTCACTGACTTGCACTAACTTTTTTTTCCTGCACTAACTTTTTGTTTCTCTTCATCACAGGGTTTTATGAGTCTTTTGTTTGTGGAGACAAGGCAGCACAGGGGATGAGAAGAGACTTCTGAGAAGCAATGGATGGGTTACAGTTGCAGGTATGGCTCATGTCATGCAAATCACAACTTTCTACCATCCTTCAGAGTCCCCAGCAGCTAAGGGGAAAGAAAATACCAGCTCCATCTATGTCTAGTGAGCCTGTTAGTTGGGAGTCACTCCCTTGTCTATCACTGTGGGGGAACTCCAGAAGGCTGTCTGGGATTAAGCCTAGAGAGCGCCTGAGCTCCTGGCTTCAGCTCCCCCACCCCCTCTTCCTGCCTGCCCCCTCCCAAGCCCAGGGACTGCCGGCTGGAGGCACACAGAGGCTGTCCATCTCATGAGTTAATCGCCTCCTGTTCAGATGTCAGGAGGAGATAAAGTTGCTATAAATAGATTGTGAAGCCCTCATGGTTTCAGCTGTGATTCACACACATGACAGAGAAGCATTAGGAAGAATTAACATTCAATCTCTCAGGCACTTTTCTGAGCACAAATGCCATTCTGTCCCTGCCACTTAATCTTCAGAGGAGGTCAGCAGCACTTTCTGGAGGTACTGAATGGGTGAAAAGGACAGGGAAACCTGGAGCAGGACTCTCTGGGAGCTAAAAATGGGAACTTCAGCTGGAATGACTGAGCAGTCCCTGACCATGGCACACAGCTGCATTTAGGAGCATGGCAAGGTGCTCTGCTCCCCCGCTTACTGGGCCTGAGATCAGATGGTGTAGTTTTGTTATGGTATGCACATGCCGGGATGCCTGACAACAACCTCTGGGACTGAGACAGCTTCTGACAAGGGTATGTGCAGAGGACTGGGGTTCTTTCTGGCTCTCCCTAACTGGTGCTGAGGTGTGCCTCTGACTGAGCAGTTTACAGGGTCTGTTGTAATCTATGTAGATGAGCTTGGTGGGGCAGGACACTGTACCGGGGTGGTCTATGTGAAATCCCCATTTCTTCCCCCTCATCCTAATTTTTTAAAGTTCAGGGTAAAAAACAGAGTATACATCTAACCTACCCATGGGAAGCTTTGTACACTTGGTCCTGAATGCGATTGCATTTATTTGCATGTGTCTAAGTGCTTGGTAGCCTCCCTTCCCCTGTCATGCTGTGTTTAGGATGTTAGCAGTGATGGTCACTGAGCAATGTACGTGAGAGATGGAGAAACCAGCTGAAAGGGAGATGAGACTAGACAGGCTCCCAAACACAAAGTGTGAGGAGTCTGTTTATAGGTATCTATCCATATGTTTGTCTGACAGTCTCCCAAGTACAGGGAAAGAGTGGTATTTTTCCTGAGAGGTAACTAAGAAGGCAGAGCATCTCCTCAAGATGATGACTATTCCTCACACTTTTACACATTTGGTGCCCTGCCAATAAAAGAGAGATCTATGTCTCTAATTTCATAGCACTGCCATGGTTTCATTGCATTGCCACTAGATCATTTGTCAGAGAATCAAAGATATTCAGGGCACTCATCATCCACAAGAGGTAAAGGGGAGTTTGGACTAAAGAGTGAGAGTTCATTGTTGGTATCTTTGGGTCCTCAGTTAGTGCTCTAGGGATTTTGGAGTTCACAAGATGATGCACATACCCTAAAATCGTTTCCTTTCATCCTGCTCTTAGGGACCCAAGAATCAGGGTTTCTCACTGAAGCAAGGAAAGAGGCAGAAAAATGGACAGAGGAACTTCAGATTGTTGGGGGAGTCACCTTATTATGATAGAACTAAACCAAAGAAAGTCAGCCCATGACTACTCCAGGTCAAAGAGGGCCCTATCCTACTCCTTGCTGCAGCAAAACAGCATCTCATTGCACTTCTAGGCAACATCCTTCAGCACAAACTGAAGCCTGCCAGCATGGGGGTAATTAAACAGATCTCAAGACACAGGCTTCTCCTTGTGTGGATATGATCTTCTGCCTACTAAGGCATTATATGCGCTTGGTATATCTAAACCAAGCTGGTTATGGTGTCAGAATGACATCATTCCCCTGTTTAGGAACACATGTCACAGGCTGGAGTATGGACTGCATGTGTGCTCTGTCAGGCTCAAGTCTGAGTGGGTCTGCAGGCACCTGTTACGGTCTTAAGCCATCCTTGAAGTTTTAAGTATGTTATGGAAGAACCTGAAGTAAGGTTCCTTCAGAAATTTATGTGGGAATGCCTGAACAGGTTCCTTAGTTGGATCCTTATATACCCACAGAACCATGTGCAAATCTGGAAGTGGCTCTGCAGATTGCCTAGTTGTGAGTGACAAGGCTCAGTAGCTTTTGCATGAACCATCCTGTATCTGAAAAAAAAAAAAAAAAAAAAGGCCATGTGGAAAGGCCATGTGGAAATCTTAAAATCTTAAAGGAGTATTTTAGTCTGTCTATCCTACAAGTGAGTCCAGACAACCTGAAACATCTTGGACCATACTGGATGCAAATGTCAGGCCATATGTTTTATAACATTAATTGCCAAACTTTCACAAGCGCCCTATTGACCTCCTACAGTCAATGAAAGAACACAGCTCATGCTTAGGCACCTAATCATTTGTCATATGTTCCTTGTTTTTCTTCAACATTTATATGGTAGTATCACCAACATGGATGGTCTCCAGTGTTGTGAGAGCTGCACAAGCCCAAAATATTAGTCAGTTTTCCAAAACATGGTATCTGGAAATGCCAAGCTTACAGATGGTACATGATATAATGAGAATTACAGGCACAAAATAGAAGGGTAAGGGCAGTACATGGTGAAAAAGTCCATCATTCATCTATAAAAGCTGGATCTGCTCAGATGATCTGATGAACAGATGCTGGACTCTAGAAAAAAAGGGTTGGAAGGATATCCAGGAATAAGTCGTGATGGCTGAGAAGGGAGGAAATGAGAGCTATAACAGAGAATCCTGCCAGCCTGGGCTGATAAGGTTCACTTGCAGGGAAGGGAAAAGGCAAAAGGAGAGGATGATGTTCTTCTAGAAGAACCAGCAAGGTCAACCAGGTCTTTCAAACCTAATTGGAAGACAAGAAGTCATCTCTGGTTCCAGTTATTTCAATGTGGGCTGGTATGCCCAGCTCTGGTGTCACAGTAGTACTGTAATTAGTTCCTGTCCCTGCAATAGCCTTATTCTCCAATGTAGTGTGCCTCTTTCACCTAGCTGATATGCATGAGAGGCAGTTTTTCTCTCTCTGAGCTTTTCTGTTTACAGCAGGTATCCAGCAGCCGAAGCCTCCTCAAGCTCACTGTCATGAAGGTCAAGTGGATTCACGTGTTGGTCATCTTCTTCTTCCTGTTGTCTGTTGCAATGACAGGCTGCTTTCTGTGGCAGTACAGCCTCTCCAAGGTGGATCCCAGTGAGTAGTCATCCATAAGCTTGGTCATGGTTTGGCACAGAAATTTGTGAAATCAAGAAATGCCTTTCTTTTCATGTGGACATTTTTTCCCAAAGAGCATTTCCCCAGGCAGCATACAAATTTTACCTTCTCCTAGCTGGTGCAAGGACACAGAGGAGATGAACATTGGGTTGATGGAGTACAATGTAACTCTCCTGGTGTCCAGAGAAGCTCCATTACTTCTGGTGTTAACCTAGGTTAATTGTTATACCATGGAGACATTATATTTTACGTTCTCTATCTTTTTCTTTAGCATCCTGTTGTAAAAGTCACTCCAGTTTAGAACTGGTTTTGTTTTACACCTTACCATGTGCTTCAGCTTAAGGGTTTGCCTCCTTTCCTATCACCCTAATCTTAGATCTCTGAACTCAAACTGGCTCAAGCTCTCAGTTCACACTAGAACTCTTTATGATGATTACAGAAAACTAAGATAGGCTGAAGGCACTGTATAATCAAGGATGAAATACATACAGTGTAACTGGATCAGAGTTTTACATAGCCCAAAGGTAACATAAAATCCATGGTGAAGGTGCCAGAGGTATTCATAGATTAATGTCTGAAAAGTTTTCAGACCCTACATTTTTATCACACAACATCAGGGACTGTCTATAGGCTCTTGTGTATCCATCTCCATTCATCTCAAATTTTTAATTGTGCTATTTCTCTTCTCATCTGTATTTCTAATGGTTCATGCTCAGTTGGTAAGTCAAAAGGTAAATAAACATTTTTGTTTACAGCTAACAGAGCAGAGGAGCTGTGTTTAAGAACATCTTGGGATCAACTGGGAAATAGTTCCTCCATTAAGAGAGTTCCCATCTCTCACCAAGTTTAAAGATATTTGCTTGCCACAAAAATTTAAGATATGTCCCTGGCATGTGTAGGAGACAGATAATTCAGAAGACAGCTAATATACTACATATGCAGCCTATCAACAGTTGTTATAGTGCTAGATTTCAGGTGGCACTCACAATTCACTTCTACATTGTTTTTCTGAGATTACAATATGCATGGGACAGCTCTGTCCTTCTGAACCCAAACTCAGGCTTTCCCCTAGACATGGGCAGGGCATTTTTCTGGGCTCTAAGCCCACTGTCAAGTACCCTACAGAGTCTTCTGAAGTTCCAGTTCCTAACTCTTCCAGGTTGCAGAGTCAGTTGAGGCCTATTGCAGATCTTGCCCATCCTATGTCCATCCCATGTTTGAATAAGCAGTAACAAAGCATAGTGCCCTCTTCACATCCTGTTTTATGTGAAATACTGTCCTGGCTTGGGCTGGAATAGAGTTCATGTTCGGTTTTGGTAGCTGGAGGAGTGCTGATGGTACACTGAGATTTCAGGGACTCTCCAGCTCTGTGTGCCATGCCTGTGTGCAGGCACGCAAGAAGCAGGGAGGGAACACAGCTGGAGCACTGGGCCCGGATTGGCCGGTATTCCATTTCATGTGACATTATGCTCACCATATAAGGGAAGGAGTGGGCGGGAAGGTACGCTCTCACTTACGGGATTGTTGCCGAGGCATCTTTGTTTTTCGGGATCGCTATCTGGGAGCGAGCAGAGTGTTGGTCAGCGGGTGGAGAGCAATTGTATTTCACATTACCCATTTATACTGTCACCGTATTATTTCATAACTCTTATTAAACTGTTTTTATCTCAACCCGTGAGTCTCCCTTTTCCCCTCTGATTCCTTCCCCATTCCCAAGTAGGGGAGGGTGGGTGAGTGGCTGCATGGTGTTTGGCCACTGACTAGGCTCAAACCACGACAAATAGAAACAATTAAAGATTGTCTCTTTCCTATGCAAAAGTGTCCTTCAGCTTTGGACAACACAAGCATGAAAGCTGGTGCTGTCTGTTGGATGAGGTTAAAGCTTGTTAGTGTGTCTATAGAAGTCACATATGCATTCTTTGGAATGTTTTCCAGGCCCATCTGTGATGGAAGTGAGACCAGAATCTGTGCAGATGTGTCCCCGCTATCCTGAACCAGTACCTCTGGATCACCCAATCCCCATTCTGAAGGATGCATTGGAGAAGGTCTGTGAGGAAAAGGGAAGAGAGAGAGAAAGAACTCATGACTGCTCTTCTGCAAGTGTAACACACAGAATATGTATTTTGCCCCTGAGCATCTCTGGGGAAGGAGGTGGGGAATTGTCATGGTTTTAGCTCAGAGGTCAACTGAGCATCACACAGCCGTTCACCGCTCCTCCTTTCCCCTCAGTGCTGAGAAGGACAAAATAAGTCAGATTTGGAATTCAAGATAAGGACAGGGAGGGATAAATCACCCATTACGATCATGGGCAAAAGACAGACTTTTTAGGGGAAGAAAAAAAAGAACCTAGGTTTAATACAGACACTAATAACAACAACACTTAACAGACAGACAGAGTGAGAAGCATTACCACATCTTGAGAACACCTTCCCCCCACCCCTCCCTTCTTCCGGGGCTCAGATCTGCCCCTGATATCTCTACCTCCTCCCGAAGCAGCGCAGGGGCAGGGAATGGGGGATGCAGTCAGTGCTGCCGCTTCTTCCATCTTCAGTGGGGGGAGCTTCTGGAACTTGTTCCCCTGCTCCATCGTGGTCCCCCTCTCACAGGAGACAGTCTTCCACAACTTTTCTCTGACTTGAGTCCCTCCCACAGCCCTTCCTGAGCTGATCCAGCATGGGACACCCACACATGTTGCAGTTCTCCCAGCACCGAACTAAAACAGCAGGGACTGCTTCGTCCCACAGGGCCCCGGTCGCCTTCAGGTGCAACCACCTTAATGTAGGGCCCCCCACAGGCCATATATCAGCATCTGCTCCACCGCAGACCTCCATGGGTGGCAGCGGAGGAGCGTGGCCTGCCATGTCACCACAGGATACAAAGGGGTCTCTGCTCTGGTATGCCTGCCCCAGTTTCCTCCTCCATTCTTCCACTGACCTTGATGTTCACATAGATGTTGCAACTCCCTCTCACAAGTCCAACTTCTCCTCCCAGGTCCCTTCTTAAATACGTTATCGCAGAGGTGCAGCTGATGGGCTCAGCCTTGGTGCAGAGGTGGGTTCAACTTGGAGCTGGGGGAACTTCAAGAACATTCTTACAGGAGGCCACTGTTGTAGCCCTCTTCCCTGCTACCAAAAACCCCACCACTCACTCAAACCCAGGACAGGAATTGAGGAGTTGAAGAACATGTGAATCTAGAAATGGGTATACAGAACTCCTTCACTGAACATACAAAACAGATCAATAAGTAGTTCTCATCCGAAGTGTAAGCTATGATGAAGAAACATTATTACTTGTCCATCAGATGGTCTGTTGAGCATACATCAACACAAAATGATGGCTCTCGGCATCTTGCCTACTATTGGGCAGCCCTCATGTCCTGGAAAGTAGGTGACTTATGTAACTAGTTCCTATTCATCAATGACTGGAAATTCCTTATTTTATTGCTTTGTTGGCTTTTCCCCATGCCGCCATTTAAAAATGAAAATGCTACTTCAAGGTAGCTTCAAGGAAGGGAATGAAGGGGAAGGGGAAGAAGAAGGGGAACTGCATCTGAATGAGAGACACATAGTTTTCCTCCATATGATATACTGTCTCTGAAATTTTAACACTGTCTGAAATTCTGGTAGGCTCTATTTGCAATAAGGAAATACTGAAGCATTGCCTTGACTGTATGGACCATAAGGACAGCCATGCTCTGAAAGGACACTCCTGATTTTGTAGATTTTGTAGTATATATCATATAATATAACTTCTCATTTGTCTCTTTCTCATGAGTAGTTTAACTAGTCATAATAGAAACTGTCCCACAGCTCTGATAATTCTTTTTACCCTTTGAATCTTTTCCAGATCTAGCATACTCTTGTGGAGGTGTGCGAAATCCGTACTGTACACAGTATTCAAGGTGCAAGTGGGTCAGGGATTTATACAGTGATAAAATGGTGTTTTCTGTTTGATTTTGTTTTACTTCTCTAATAATCCCTCTTATTTGACTTACTGTTTTTTTTTGCCATAGGATACTGAGCAAATGTTTACATAGGAGCATCCATCATAGCCCCAACGTCTTGTTCCTGAGTGCTAATAACTGCCCACCTGTGTGTGTATTAGGGGTATGTGTATGTGTAAGTTAGGGGTGTTTTCCTGCATGCACATCGCTTTATCTACACTGAATTTCAATTGCTGCCACTCACTTCACATTAACTTTTCTGCAGTCTCTGCCACTATCTCTAGGGTTATTGTAGAGAGGTATTTTATTCAATTAGGATTAGTCAGAGGTAGATGAATGTGCAGAACACTGAGTGTCCATCAGAGAGTCATATAATCTCCCTTTTTTGTGCTCCTCAGAAATTAATTATCCAAGCACTTCCTTGAAGTAGGCTGGTGAAACTGTTCCTATTTTTCAGATGGAATAAGGCACAGAGAACCTGAACACTAGATGCATAGGAAGACATAGGTATTTGAAGGGGTCTTAGATACCAGAACCTCAAAAGTATATCTCCAGGTGCCCTTAGGTTCTCCTTGAACCCAGACTAAAGATCTTGCAGTGCCTGAGACAAACGACCATCCTGTGCAAGGGACCCTGGAACTGGGACTCTGGACAGTACCATATGTGATTATATTGCATACAGGGGAGACTTTTTCTAGCCCATGGCACCTTGAAATTGGAGGATGATATTTATTCATGCATAAGGCTTAAGGAAAGATTTCTCTTCTAAGCGTAAATACTTTTGCTTATCAGAAAGGCATATTTTTTTCTCAGAAGTCTTACTAGTGGCCAAATCCCAATGGTGGGTATTGGATTCAATGACACTTGAGATTAGAAGAGTGTCATATATTTCTGTCAATGTTCTGCATGTCCAGGCAGGTCTCCATGCCAGAGTCTCTCTGAGAAAACTATAAGGAGGACCATGCTTGCTGGCATGAGACCAGTCTGTTCTCTGGAGGTGCTGATGTACCTAAACATACTAGATGTGCCACTGGCACATGAGGAGGGGAGGGAAAAGAACCACTACAGAAGGACTTGGCACAATTTGGATGTTTCCACTGCTGGCTGTCAGTGCACCTCACCAGTCCATCCAGTGAAGAGGTCCTGAGGATGTGACTTGGCTTGGTCTTTCCTGTCTCAAATGCTGGGCTTGGAAGGTCATCTCTCATGTCTTAACCTTTCTGTGCAAAAGATTTCTTATGCATGATTATGACATAGCTTTGAAAATGTCATAAAAGAGCAAGTCCAAAGCATTCTGCTTGCAGGAGATGGGTGGAGCATAGCTGGCTGATTAGGTCTACACAACCCTGGCACAACAGGGAGCAAAGAGCAGCCCTCTAGTTGCTCAGTTCTGTTTCTCAGACTGCAGTTTAAACAGGATTCCTAGCTCTAGCATGTTTCATGGTATGAGATGTGCCATGGGATATTTGAGAAGTCTGGATCTTTTTCTCATACATATTTGAACCTAAAATACTACTGAAAAGAACAGATGTGTACAGTACAATTTTAAAAAGAAAGAATTTACAATCATTTGGTTTTTACTTTTGTTTTTAATGATATAAGCATCATAGATATTACAAGGTTGAGCACCATATTCTTCTACACAGTAGAAAGAAAGATGCTGGATAATTCAGCATAAGCAATTCAAAGGAACAGTACAGTTAAAATATTTTCTTTTGCTAAAACACATTTGAAAAAAATCACTCTCAGGTGCTTGGAAGTAAGGAGGGCTGGTGGTCTCCGTCTTCTACTGCCTGTTGCAGACTAGATGCATTATAAGACTCTTCATTTGGAAGTTCACCATTTACCATCATTCTCCAGGTAGATGTGGTGCTGCGCCAAAAGATTCATGGCTCTGGTCTCCCTGCAATGTCTGCCATTGTTATCTACAATGACACTGTGCTCTGGACAGGCAACTTTGGAAAAAAGAATGGTTCGGACCCCTCCTCAGTGGTGCCCAATGAGTACACTATTTACAGGTGAGATAGATGTATTGCAGGCATGAGAGCTAGAAAAAGAGCAGATACATGCATGAAGATCTGATATCTAGGAATAGAGCCACTGTCACAAACCCCATCCTCTACTGGCTCAGGTCCACAGTAAAAACCTCTTCTGGGTTACACTAAAACTTTATGAGACAATGCTTCAGCTAGTCCCTAAATTATCATATCCTTATGGATTACTGAGTTGTTTACTTTGGATTTTTTTTTTTTTTATTTTGATCTGACAATATTTTAAATTGGAATAGCAGTGACCATCATGAAGAACCTGAAAACATACTACTTCCATAGAAATGATTCCATGCTTTCAGAAGGCCTAGGGCACAAATCTGAAGATTGAGAGCTATCACAGATTTTGTGAGCATCAAGGAGACAGTGCCATAGGATAAGAAAAAAAAAAAAAAAAGTTCAGTCTAGCAAAAAATGGGGTTTGGGAGGAGTATCTACTGAACACTGTAGATACTACGAGTATCTACTTGACATAAAAACCTCAACAAAACCAAAGAAAGTGTTTACTTCCTCTGAAGATCTATTTTCAGTGAATTGCAACTGTGCTATATATGAAACATATGGGCTGCACACTGACTATCAGATGTTGTCCTCAATATAAACAATTGTGGAAAGTTTCGTCAGCTGTGATTACCTGTTTTTTCCCCCCCTCTATCATGGTAGAATCCCTGCACAGATGACCTCATGCTATTTCTTCCAGAATCACAGAATGGTTTATGTTGGAAGGTACCTTAAAGGTCATCGAAGTTCCAACCCACCTGCCATGAGCATGGAAAGGTGAACTTGTTCCTGGGTGTGTACAAACCAGCAAGCTTGTGGTTAATGGCCAAACATGCTAACAAATTGTGTCACATAGACCCCCCCCTGCCCCCACCCCATCAGCATCATTTATGGTTGGAACTACGACAGTATCTGATTATCTTCAAATATCTGACTTTCCTTTTTGATTAATGAAATTCTTAGCAAAAGCTTTAGCTCTAGGGTTCCTTGTGCCAGTCCAAGAATTTAATCTCTAGTGGCACACTGTGAATGCCCTTGGCCATCCCTCTTAATCATGGCCTTATTTCTGAAAACCAACAAAACAGAACCGGAGTCCTATTCCAGAATACCTTTTGTAAATTTGACTCTGTTTTAAAGCCACCCGAATATTAACACTGAATATGAAATATAAAACTTTATGGAATTTCAACCTTACAAAGCCAATAAACTACTTGCAACTCATTATGGTATTGACTAAACAAAAATTTACATAATATGTCATCTTAGGTATACTAAGGGAACAGAAGTTCTGCAGCTCAGTGCAGTACTGGGGAGATAGTATTGAAAGTTATGTAAGTTATGTTCCAGTCCGTAAAGGGCATCCGTTTACCTGCATTTTAGCCATTCCCTTCTGAATTAATAAAGGTGTTGCCTGTAAAGCTACAGGCAGTGGGTCAGTTGGCTGATCTCATGTACTGACCATCTTTCCTCTTGATTCATGCGTTTCTTAACTGTACATTCTGTAATGTTTGTTCCTTAACAGAATTGCCAGTGTCTCCAAGATATTTCCCACTATTATGTTGTACAAGATGTGGGAGGAAGGAAAAGTCACATCTCTTGATGACCCACTAGAACGTTATGTCCAGAACTTTGTTATTAAGAATCCTCTGGGAAGGCTTAAGGAATCAGAACAAAGGTACACAGCAGATGGGCTGATGTTTTTGGAAAAAGGCTCAATGCCACTTAAGCCATCTCCTGTTACATTGCGCAGAATGGCCAGCCAGCTTTCAGGTGAGAGAACACTGCTACTTGCTTGCCCTCTGCCCACCACTATGCCACTTGGAAAAGACCACAGAGAGAACAGGCCATATGTCAGTTATAAAAAAAGGTTGCTGTTGAGGTCATTTCCCAGTATGGACCCTGCACCTTTTCACTTCCCAGAGGTCAGTCAGGACCCTTGGAAGCAAGCTGTCAGCAGCTTCATGAAGTGTTAAAAGAAAACTCTTGTCCAGGCCACCTGATAGGAAGGAGGCCAAGCTGCATTGTGGACTGGGGAATTGTTTTTGCCGTGCAAGATGATAATATATTTATTTTAACACAGTAGCATGACCAGGATCCAATTGCATAACAGTTTTTTGTATTCCAGACTAGAATGCTCTCATTTTTCTGAGATGTGCAGTTGAGGGTCAAAGTGGCATCAAACCTCTTTGCTTTGAAAAGATAGACATTGATTGCTGATCTAAATTTAGCTGTCATTGTGGTTCTTGATCTGGGATTCCTGAGCTATTAATAGCTTTGTACTTGCTGGCAAAAGACTGTTAATTCTCTCCTACCTTCATAAATGGGTAACTCTTACTTTAAGGTAGAAGGAGCTCACAGGACTCAGAAGAACTTTAAAAATTCTCAGAAATAAAGCTGCTAATACACGACTCAGTCATTCCAGAATTTAATGGCCAAAGAGACTATGTTGATATCTCATGTGGCATTTTGATGTGATGTCTGTAGCACCTGCATTACTCCATATTGGAATAAACCCCCTAAAATTAGGACCTAAGTTCACAATAGCACATAGGCAAATTGCAGTACCTCAGGACAGGGTACAGCATCACCTGAAGTAAGCCAATATCAGAATAGGGGTTCCCCAGAAAACAATAAGGTAACTGAAATCCAGAAACAAGCAGACAAACAACCCAAAGTGGCCAGTGGCAGCAGAAGGCAGAAAGAAAGATGTGTGCCCAGCCCTGGCCAGCCCCTCTCCCTGTACACACAGTCTTTCTCTAGCCAGCCTGCTGATGTCCTCAGGAGCACTAACACTGCCTGGTCCCCTCTGACTCTCAGGAGCACCTGAAGCTGGTCTGGATGCTCCTTGCAGGAGCAGTGTGTGCTGGGGCTGCAGCTCCCAACCCTGCTGCAGTTCCCTGTTGCCTAGTGAGGTGGGAGGTATGCCCTAGAAATAGCTCTAGCAAGCGTATGTCAAAAGTGTACCGAGTCATAGCATAATTGCTTGTAATGTGTAGCCATTCCATTGCTTCCATTGCTGTGCTGGATTTGTGCCCCTGCTGAGCTCCTTTTACATTCCTATGTCTTTCTTTTTTTTTTTTTTTTTTTTTTTTTTAGAGGGTGGCCCAGGTTTCCCAGACCACATCAGCAGGGTACACCAACCGGCTTGGACCCTAACAATTTAGTAGAAGGAGAAGCAGGGTTTCAAAATCTCAACTGAAAATCAAATAAATGTTGAAGTCACATATTATATTTCCTGTCTGTCAAAATGCAAAAAGGAATAGGTTCTGCTTACATCAAGATCAAAACCACTGCATGACATACTGTAAAGTGTTTTTCATCTAAATTCTTCCAGTGGAATCTGATCTATGATATATCCTCATTATCTGGGCTTTTCTACATTGCATATTACAAAAGTAACTCCAAAGGTTTTTCTCCTCAGCACTTGATGGGTACATTGCTAGAGGGAAGATCCAGCTTGTTAAGACTATGCCCTTCAAATATATATGAATGAGAATATGAGATGTTATTGTAGATTGTTAACAGCATGCTTGCAACATCAGTTAGCAACCCATGAGGTATAAATCAATGACTCTGGATTTTCTGTTATGCTCACACATTCTCTGGTTTACTATTTTTAATCAACCCCAAGAGAGACATTGCACTGCTGTCATGGCACTGGCTGAATTCTCCCAGTGGTGCAACATTTTCTTTGCTGCCATTGTGGCAAGTAGGAAATGAAGGAGTCCATTGTCTACTGGAAGATGCTCAGTCCATCTCTTACCTGGTCATTCAGCTGCACAAATAACCACAGACTAGAAGCAGAAAAAGTGCTTTTGTTTCAATTCAAATCCCAAGGTCAGGCCAGTTGTGAAAAACAGAAGCTGCTGCTACAAAAGAATAGGTCCTCATTCCACTTTGCCATGATGAAGCACATGCTCACTAAGCATATGAATGCAAGTCTTTTTTCTGTCATGTACCCTTCCTGATTTCCTCCTAATGTCTAAATCAAAGTCAGATGTAAACTGCAATGAGGAATTAATTTCAAATGTAATCCACGTTCTGGACTTGGTGAGCTGTAGAACCTGTGCAAAGGATCTATGGCATTTTAAAGTCTTGGCGAAATGTTTTTAGGGAATCCATGATCAGTGTTATGGAATTAAAAGTGAATAGAACTTCAGTATTTCTACATTTAGGAACCCTGAATAAATGTTGATGAAGCTGAAAATATGAAAGCTAGAAATATTTTAGGCCAAGCCTGAAATGGTTTAGAGAAGTTCAAGCCCTTTGTAGCAAGGTGTAAAGAAAAAAAACCTGTTTAAAGGGGCTGTTAGACACCTTTGTATTCAAGAGGATACAGTCACATGGAAATATGAACAGGGATTTCTCCAGCACCCAATATGTCCTTCTCTTCCAAAATACACTTGGGGATACAGAGTATTTTTAATCATTCATCAAGGTATTTTTACTGAAATGTAGCAACCCAGAATCAGTGGTTCATGACTTGAACACTGTGTTCTGCAGTCTGGTATGAACAGGTTCTTGCAGCACATTTCTTATGTGTATAAAGCACATGTGTGCATCATTGTTGTTTCCATCTCACCACTGACTCTTGCCTTTTGTTCTCTCTTCACCAGACTCAAAGTTTCCTGGACCACAATTTGTCTCAAATTGTTAACTTCTTTTTTCCATGGCACAGGCCTGCCCAGAAGGCTGCGATCTACCAGCCTGCTGTGGAAGGGCAACACGCAAGAGGCTTTAGATCTCTTGAAAGATGACGTCTTGGTTGCTGATCCAGGAACCAGGTCAGATATAGTCACTTATGAGTTTCTGGTCTGGGTTTGTGTCCTCCACTGATATTAGCCCCAACTGCAGTCTTCATGGCCAATGGATAGAAGACAGCCATTCCTAAAGGGAGCTTCAGCAATCTACCCATACACTTAAGCTGGAAAGAGGACTGTTGGAGGTGCCATTAAGCTAGATAAGGACATCCACTCATATTTTTGAACCCTTTATTACTTGACATGTTGATGGTTTTAACTCTGTCTCCCTGTTCCTGGATATACTTCACAGCTAACAGATCTTTCTTCCTAAAGGAAATACCCATTCTTTGGTATAGAAATTTTAACATATTTTTCTGGATATGTTGAAATTCAACTCCATTTCATATATAAATTTTAGATCCAGAATATATTTGTTCTTGGTGTAGAAACATATATACTCATCATGCTTTTATTCAGTTAGATGGGCTGGAAATGGTTGAAGTGGTACCAAATTTATGATATAAATAGGCCTTAGTGAGATGTGTGGCTTCACACAATTGAAAAACAAAGCAAAACAAACAAGGTTGAAAACATGCTGAATTTTGAAAATGTCTTTGAAAAAAAGTTGCTCATTCATGTCTTCATGTCATGAAACTTCATTCGAGTATAAAGGTTTAAATTACTTTATGGTTATTAAATACCGAAGCACTCAGATATCCTTAATGACTCAACATTGCTGGATGCTGATTTGTAGACTTTTAAGTGCTTTTTAAGTGATTACATGTTAAATCTCCAAAGAGACTTACCTGGGATTTTGAGACCTGTAACTTTCAACTCTGCTATTAAAAAGAATGGATATTTTCTTCGGTGAACAATTATAAACAGTAAGTCAGGATATGCAAGTATATAGGGTTTTGCCTAAACTTGGTTTTTTTTTTTTTTTTTTTTTTTTTAGTTTTCCATCTCCATCTCTCTTTCCGTACATAGTGGTTAAATAGCTCTGCTGATGTTCCCATAAAAGATTTCTCTTTCTTGACTTAACAACAAATCAAGACAACAACATTCAGTTTTTCTCCATCTCTCCTTCATCTCTCCTCTCTCTTTAGCATGTCATCTGATAAAACGAGAATTTTTCCACAGAGAAGAGACCTAGCCCTTGTTTTTACATAGTCATACAGTTACTATATCACTGAGGTAAGGCTGATCCAGCCATATTCCTCTTCTTTTTCAGATGTCATTACAGCAACTTGGCCTTCTCACTGATGGCACATGTTCTAGCTGACCATGCAGCTGAGGGACAATACCAGCGCTGGATCTCAGAGAACATCCTGGATCGCTTGGGTATGGAGGACACTGGCTTCGACATCACACCACCGATCCGCTCCCAGATGGCTGTGGGTTTCTACAGCAGTCGGCAGCTGGCTCCTCTCTATGACCTTGGCTGGTACAGGCCTTCTGGCCAGATGTACTCCACAGCTGCTGACCTTGCCAAGCTGGCAATGGTCTTCTTAGGCACCTACCACCGTCACCTCTTAGAGCCTGACACAGTGAAGACGATGCTGACCCCTCTGTTTAAGTGCTCCACTGAATACTTTGCTAACAAGACTGGCACACCCTGGGAGATTAATGAGCAAATGGGATATGATGTCATTAGGAAGGATGGAGATCTTGATGGTTATTCAGCTACCTTCTCTCTTATCCCCAAGCTCCGCCTGAGCTTCATTGTGCTGATGGCAGGGCCCAGGCCTCAGGGCAGAGATATTGTGACTCAGACATATGAGTATCTTATTCCTGCCATGGAGAGGGCGTTCAGAGAGGCAGAGAAAAGCTTGATTCCTCCTCCAAGTCCAGGCCCTTATGTTGGCTACTATACCTATTCCAACCTGACTTTCTATGAGATCAAAGTTGGACCTGGTGGGGTGCTGATTATGCAGCAGTTTGGGCCTCATGTGGAAGAGCTGATTCCTGAAAAGTACCGGACAATCAAGCTCCATCACCTGGAAGATCGTGTTTTCCAAGTAGTTTTTGACAAGGAGTTCCCATGTGTTCTGCACCTGGGCTCTGCCTCCATCTCACTGGAGACCCAAAATGGGCAGCTCTTTAACTTTTATCCATTCAACCACAAGGGTTTGTCTCCTGGCTTTGATGCACCAGGGCTGAACACATACAATGTTGTGCGTGTATTTCGAAAACCTGTATTCTATAGCTAAATATCCCCTCTACTTTTCTGACCACTTCTGGGAGATGGCTCCAAACCTGTGTCTTACCAGACTTTCCTGTCTGTGTGGCTTTATGGATGCCATTTAAAATGGAAAGATGGTGGAAAATAATCCTTTTTCCCAATAAATATGTCATGTTCCACTTCTAATATGACTTTAATGGCTTGCAATCCCTGACAATGACATGCCAGCTAGCAAGTGGGGCTACCTGCAGAAAAAAGAGGTGGAAATGTGTTGGATGGATGGTGTTTGGGGACCACAAAATCAAGCCAAGTACTTAAGTCTCCTCTCTTACAATGTCTGTTTGATGATCATTGTGGTAATTGACTGGTATCAAAAGGCTGAGAATTTCCCGTGTCTGTCAGAAAATATCTCTTCTTGAGTCTAAGGGTTTTTCCAGGGCTCTTCAGTAGCCCATTTACCATGAACAAGATTACTCATCTGAATTTGTCAAAAGCATTATGTGCTAGAAAATGGCACCAGCCTGACATCAGGCTCTGCTTGTGATACCTGGGAAGTGAGGGTTCATTTGTTTCCTGGGTCACAACAAGGAATCTGTGAAAAGAGCAGATAGCAATTGGATTACAACTTGGATCCATGGTTTTCTGCAAAAGCAGTGGTCACACTAAGGATATTGTATCAATTAGGTATAGAAGGTGAAGACTGTTCCTGTGAGCAGGGACATATGAACATATGCTGGTATATTCCATCTGAACTCAGGTTTGTGGCTATCTCAGTATATAGGCAAGTGTGCAAGTGTGGTGTTTAAGTACTGGAATGCATGGGAATCTTTATGTGTGTTTTGGGTAAGGTGTCTGTATGGATACGTACCCATTGTCCTTATGCAGGTATAAGAGAGGTTGCTAAGGGGAAGTACATTAGCCTGGGGAGTACTAAATTTCAGAGAGATGCACCTTCAAGCAATCTGCAAAGCCACAGATGTATTTTCTTCTCCCTTCTTATGCCCACTCAGTGCCAAGGCAGGACAGATGATATATCATTAATGAACAACAATTAATAGCCTAGCTGTGGAGTATGGCAATGGCTGTACAGCACGAAAAACCTGAAGGAAGTGCAAAAGGGTAGGCATACTGGCACAATCAAAGATTCCTCAAAGTACATGTCCCTCATACCATATCTGGTATGAGGTTGGATCCCCTTGCAGAGTAACCTCCTTCTGCTGCTTGTCCACACAGAGTCTTGGAAGTGGATACATCTCACAGAGGATGAGAAAATAAATCTCCCTGCCTCCCTCTCTTGTTGTCTCTCTATTTTCACTCTGTGTGCAGTTCTTCACCTTCAGTTTTGTGTAGAGACCATCACTGAAGTCCTAGAAAACTATGACTCACAAACTCAGTTCTCTGCTTTTTTTTTTTTCTGACAATTTCAGTTCCCTAAAATAACGTAATACCTTAAATAATGTAAACGTTGCCTTACAGGCAGTCATGGTTGCTGCTGTATTGGTTTCCTCTTGACTTTGTAGGTGATTACTTTTCATACCTTGTGCAATCTTGTATGTTCAAGTATTTAATCTGGGCTATAGCAACAGCAATAAAGTCTATGCAAATTCTTGCTGCTGTCATGTGCAATCATGCCCAGAGGTATGTGTGCAGGTGGATAGGTTATACCATGGTTTATTTTCTGTAGAGGTGCCTACACTCACTCTGTCATGGCATACCTGACACAACAGTGCTTTCTGGGCTTTGAACTCACAAGATGTAATGTCTGATTGCAAGATATTTGAGTGGTCTAACCCTGGTCTTTTTGACTGAGGGCTAAGTGCCAGTTTGGGGTTACTGTTCTTGCTTTAGAACAAAAAAAGTGAGTGTTTACCCATCAGCTATGTTTAAAAGCTTCAAAAAAAAAAAAATTAGTATTTACATCCCATGGCAGGATGAAACATCAATCACATTGGACTGCCTCCATCTGTCTGATGGAGAGGTTAAGATGTTTTACTTTTCCATCAGTAATGACACAAACAAGTCTTTCTTTTTCTAGTGAGTGACCCTCAGACCTCTACACTGATACTTTTTGGTGCTCTTGTTTTTTCCCATAACAGCAAAGTACAGGTCTTTGCTATTCATAGCATGAACCTACACATGCAGTAAAACTCATCTCACAAAGCCTTCGCTCACACTGGAAAGGTGTGAGCGGGAGAGCACCCTTACCTGGTATGGAGAGGAGAATGGAGACCTTGGGATGCCTGTACAGAGGATCTGGGAGAGGCTCTGTGTGGCAGGCAGGATAAGGTAGAATTCTGGAGGACACTAGTCATCCACGGAGAGCAGCCAGATTCACAAAGCTCAGTAAATGCTAAAAACACAGATGTCCATTTTCTTTCTGTCACTTCATGCCTAACAGTATCCTGAAAACAGCAATTTATTCCTACATGCTTAATTTCTTTATACTTTTCCTCAACCAGAGCAATGTGGCCCAGCTGTTTACTGGACAGCATCTTTGCAGAGCTTTTCTGTTCCAATGATGGGATTAAGATGATGTGTCTATATGCCTTCAACCACCACCAGAGCAGGACTCAGAAAACAAGGATGAAGTCAGGTTAGCAAGAATTGAGCCTTGGTGTCAGAGTCTGATAGTTTATTAAACACTAACTCCAGGCTCCCTGTTTTCCTCCTCAGAAACGTGTTGGCATTCTTCTCACAAAAGGATGTGTTAAACCCCTGCAATGTGAAGCACAAACTTTTTTGACTTTTCAGTTCTGTAGGAGTTTGTGGGAGCTGTTTAAAAGTAAATGTCAGCATACACCCTTTAAAAGAGAGAAGAGATTAAGAAAGCTGCTAGGTCAAAACCAGTCACTGTCTCCTTTTCATCTATAAAGTGAATACCAACAAATGTTTAAGTACTTTACAGTTAGCAGGGAATCTTCAATATATATTGCTATTAGGTGCAATTCTCACTCAACATAAGGTCATGTATGCTTCAGAATGAAAAGGATAGAAGGATGTTTGCAAATTTAATCATTTCTTGTCCATTCGCTTCTGTCTTTATGAAGAGTCTGACATCTCATGACTTGGTTTACAGAGCTGCAGATAAGCAGTCACAAAGAAAATAGATGACAGAAAATCTCCAACACTGTCTCCAGAGAAGTGAGACAATCTCCATTTACATCTACATTTGTGCAGCCCAGCTGAGCATGAGCTGTTGGCTTGTTATGACTACGTCTCTCTGTAGGGCTCATCCTTGCAGACATAACTAATATATCACCAGAAAAGACGACTCTGCTTTAGTTCACCAGGTAAAATCCTATGTTTGCATGAAAGAGCTCTTATTTTCAGGCCTGCATTACTTTTGGGCTCCTAATCTTGTGGTTGTGGTGGACACACTCTTCTGGCAGTTTCCAATATCAATAAGAGACATAGCTAATATCTGAAGTCCAGTGTCATAATGTCAACATTGCATTAAAGCAAAAAGCATCTTGCAGTGGTGTTCTGGCCCACGGGATGGGGGAGACTGCACACCCAGCTCAGCAGCAGACCAGACCTTGGAAATAGCCATGGAAATGATAGGAGAAGAGACTGTAGATGATAGGACTAATGTCAGAACTCAAGTCGAATAAGATCCTTAGCAGGATGTAGACATCCTGGAAAACAATGTGCACCAGATCTGCCCAGTGAACACCAGACCTCCACAGCAATCTCTCTGCCTGAAACACCATCCAGCTTGTCATGAATGCTACTATGACACGTGCAGACAGGAGGAATCAGGAAATGAAAGCAAGACAAAGTGTTAAAAACAGAGCTCAGAAGCAGAGAGGACTGGCTGAGAAACACTGTTAACAGCATCCCTCTGGACTGCCAGGGACCCTGGACAAAAAGCTGCATGCTGTTAGGTGAGGGATTGCTCCTCTGGGACATGGTGAACTGCAGCTCAAACCATCTGATGCTATAAATAGCATTTGGCTGATAAATAGCATCAGGCATTTGGCTTGATATTCGTATTGTGGAATATAATGACTGAAAAGTGTAACAAATTGGCCACAAAAGACTATCACCCAGCAGAGACTGCAAACCCTGGAGGGGGAGGGAACAAGACAAAGGAATGCACGTTGCCTAGAAAGAAAGAGATCTGATAGCCTTATGGTAACATCAGGTATCAATATAGGGATAAAGGAAAATAGGTCTCCAGTTCTTTAGGTTTGAAACAAAAGGTGAAAATGAGCGAGGAAACTAAGAAAGGCACTTTTCCATCTGTTGCCACAGTCTGAACGAGGCAGTACAGCAAGAGCTGAGCCCTAGTCTTCTGAATGCAGTGAAGAGCTGCCTAGATTTGGGCTCGGTAGGATTTGTCCTGGTTTGGGTGTCCTCAGGGAACTGAGGGAAAGTGTTTCAGACTATGAGTCTGGCAGTCAATTCTTCTAGCTAATATGAATCAGGCATTTCCATATTATTCTCTTAACAAGTTATAACTGATGCCCGTTTTAATGAATTGGGGCATTGTTATTCATAACTTTTGCAGTAGGTAGGATTCCCAGGTACATATTCCCAGAATATCACAGAAGTGATATTCTGTGACCCATGGGAGACAGCCAAGCCCCATAGTTGCTAGCCTATTTTATGTTTTTCAGTTGTTCAACATGAGACAGAGTTTTTGGTATTTGAAGTGTGCAGTTTGCTTTCTCCTGGTAATCACTGCCAGACAGAGGAATGTCTTACAGATCCCAGGTTGTGTGTCTGTCCAAGCATGGTACTTATTTAGGTAGTTATAATGGTGATCCCCAATGTTTCAAAAGTGAAAGCCAGCACATGGAGCAGTTTTGAGGAAAAAGGAGATAAAAAATGGGTATGGCTTGAATATGGTGGTTGATGTAGCCCTTGGTTAAAATCTCAGAATTAGGATATTGTTATTAAAAACCAGCTACCATTTTGTCCAATTATCAGATGGTCTTTAGATGCCAGAAATTGCTAGCCCAGCCTCAGGGTACAGAGCATATGTGGAGTGCTGCAGAATGCAGAGAAAATGCTTGCAGCGGAACAAAACCATTGGGCAGATAGTTGTGCTGGAGAAAGGACTGCAGGCATGCAGCATCTCTCTGTAAGTTCCTTTCTGCACTGAGGAGCCAATGGCAAATTTTTCCTTTGAAACAAGGTGTCTTATTCTCATTACAGAAATGAGTCCAAGGGGTCTAAATGCACTTCTCTCAGATCAGTTCCCTGTTCACAAACATTTTTACCTGTTCCCGTCAATGCTGGAGCCCTGGTAGCCAGGTGAATAGATCACTACCAGTCAGGATCTGAAGATTAATCAGTACAGAAAGAGACTAGAAAGTCCCTAGCTCAGGCAGTTCAGTTTTTTACTCAGTGACCACCTAATGTGTCCCAGCTGGGAATAAACAGCTTACTCAATTTTCCAGCTCACTGCCCTTAACTTTCTGTCAGATTTCTCATTAATTTTCAGACTCAGTATAGTTGCTTTATCTTCTCTTCACAATTGCCATCTCTGCACATAGGGATGACTTTTCTCCTATTCTCTTTTGCAGCTGTGTCTCATTTATCACCAGCACTCACTTCTCAAGTTCATGTGTCATCTGGTTACTCCAGTACACAGAGTAGTCACTTTCCATCCCTTTCTTTTCAGAGCCTAAAGTGGAGCATATCCCCTAAGCTCACATTATCCACACTTCGTCCTGGAAAGCACTCTTTTCTCAACTTGCTGTACTCTGGCACACCCACTCCATCCCCTGATGGCAACAAGCAGACATCATTTTAATGGTAAAGGTAGAATTATTGTACAGACAGTGCTGACACTGGCAGGCTGAAATACGGTAATACTACAGTCTCTAACATCAGCCATGTTGAAAAATTATATATATATATATGTGTGTGTGTAAAAAAAAAGAATAAACAGATCTTTCATGCCTAAATACATTCAAGGACATCTCAGAACGGGGCGGGGGGGTGGGGGGGGAAATCACTTTCTTAACTGGACAAGAGGATTCAAGGCCTTTTGGCAGACATATAAGCAGGAATTACAAGAATGCAACAATAGTTCAAGTATATGATGCAGTCACCAGCCAACACTGAAATGATGTGCTTAACCTGTAATTAAGAGTCTAATTATTTATTGTGGACATTTGGGAACCTCACAGACCTGCGTCCTGACACTGCAAGCTCCTGTTTTCTCATCCCACTGGAATCCCCCTACATACCCAAAGTCACCTGTCTTCAGAGCATTTGGCCACTGAGAGCTCTAGTCATTCATCACAAATCAAAACACAAATATTAATAAAGAGAGAGAAAGACTTACATATGAGGACAGTCCTCCTGCCCGTTGCTCCTGCCACACCACTTTTACGAGGTATTTGGAAGGAAACTGGACAGAGCTTGCAAGCCCAGACTGACCTATGCCATTCAGCCTCTCACAGAGGTACCACACATCTCCCCCTTTGCTCCCATTCTCAGCTTGGCAGTCCTCCTTGGACTGGTCTGTCTCTCCCGATTTCTGTACTTCTCCTTCATTCCCATGCTGTCTTCTATATCACAGGTTCTGCATCGCACAGTGCCACAGCAGGAAAGCAGGAGGGAAACAGAGAGGGGAATGCCTCCATC